TAATTTAGCACTCGCAGCTCAGACCTGAGCTGGGGGCAGCCTCAGCCTCCGCCTCAGCTCACACTGGGAACCTGCCACCTGTCCTGCCTCTACCTGGCCTCCCCCAGGCGGCCTGCCACCCCAGCTTCCTCTCCGGCAACCCTGCCGTGACACTCAGAGAAGTCTTCTCAGGGTCAGCTGTGACTCGCCTCTGCTGCACATGTCAGAGTAGATGTCAGAGAGCTCGCTCGGCCTACACACTGACCCACCACTCTCCCTGCACTGCCCTCACAGGTTGCTCTTCCGCAGACCTGCCCCGGCGACTGCGCTTGCTCCCTCAATCCCCTCAGTTTTTCACTCTTGTGTCATCTCCTCAGTGAGGCCTCCCCTTAGCCACTCTTTTAAGGAGAAGTCATGGTGCTCTTGGTATCTTTTCCCGTTTTATTTTGTCTCCTCTGTGTGACCTGCCAGCACTTCAACCACCTTCACTGTCTTCATCAGTCCACCAGAATAGCAGCTCAACAAGGGCAGGGACTTCTGTCCATTCACTCTGAATCCCTGGAGTGTCCACACCCGCCACACCTTCAGTATTCAGACATTTATTAAGTTAATGAAGTCAGAATAAAGGTCGCCATGCCCACTTGCCGCCCTTTAACACAGGGAGATGTGGAAAACAAATGTCCTGTTTTGCGCTGGGACCTTAAAACAGCTACAAAGAAGAGAACATCAGGGTGAGCGTGTTCAGAGGTTTCTCAGGAACACAGGAAACTGCCCTTTACTTTCTGACCACGGGAGCAATTTAAAAGGAGGTGTCATTGCCCTGGCCAGGTAGCTCCATTGGTTAGAGTGCTGTCCTGATACTCCAAGGTTGCGGGTTCCATCCCTGATCAGGGCACACACAAGAATCAACCAATAAATGCAAAAATAAATAGAACAATGTTTCTATTTCTTTCTCCCTTCCTCCCTCTCGCTGAAGTCAATTTTTTTAAAAAATCTTTAAAAGGTGTCATTTACAATACATCAAAAAACAAAGTACCCAGGGACCAGATGCTCCCAGAGAACTGGCCTCTGGGGAGAAAGTTAGAAAATCTGATAGAAAGGTACCCACCAGATAATTAAGAGTTTCTCTGGCCTTTTGTCCCTGTGGAGGGGAAGGAGCCTCTAATTCCTTGGGATTCCCCCTGCCACCTGAGTTTGCACTGATGAGGTGACTCAGCAAGGGCTGTCACACCAAAAAGACCTGCCCTGTGATCAAAGGGCTGGATGTGGGAGGGGGTGGCGTTCAATCACGTGGCCACTGGTTCCATGGCTGATATCGTGACACCCCAAACCGACCGGATAGCGAGGCCCACGGAGTTTCCTGTAGGTGAGCGCGCTGAGGTGCCGGAGCAGGGGCAGGTCTGCATTTCCTGGGGAGGGCAGAGCTCAGCATTGGGTGCCCCCAGACCTCACCCTGTGGGTCTCTTCACTTAGCTGGTCCTGGTTTGTATCCTTTATAATAAAACCAGAAGTATGGTGTCTCCTGAATTCTAAGTCATCCTAGTGAGTTACCAACTGAGGGGCTCATGGAACCTTCGTAGCCGGCTGGTCGGAAGCGCAGGCAGCCCGGGGCCCCAAGCTGCCAGCGGTGTCCGGGTGAGGGCGGTCGTGTCGGGGACCGTGCCTCCACCTGCAGAGCTGTACTGACACCGGTGGCCAGCATCAGAGGTGCGCATCAGTGGCATGGTGTGGATGGCACTAGAGATCCAAGTGGATGGACACGCAGTGTTCAGAATCTGACACTGTCCATGTCACAAAGTCATTTCTTCCAATCCAATGAGTCACCATCACTCCAGCTCAGATCTCAGATCTCAGTACCCTCATATTTACAAATAAGAGCAAAGGGCCAACACTCTCCTGAAGGATGAGGTTGGATCACGTCCCTTCCTGGAAATGAAGAATTACTCTCAAGTTGTAGTAACAGGGAATGTAGGGCTGGTGTCAGGACAGACGGACACACAACAGAACATGGAGCCGTGAAATGTGCTGTGCCCGGATGCTCACCGGGGCTGACAGGGACACCCAGGGGCCCGTAGCCAGCACAAACAGCATTTTCACGTGAATGACAAACCTCGGTGTGAAAGGCGAAGCGAAAAAGGACTGGTTGAAATTACAGGAAGGCATCGGAGGAGGCAAGGAGTTGTTAAACAGGACACAAAAGCGTTTACCATAAAGTGAAAAAAAGATACATTTGACTATAATAAATTAAGAATTTCTTCAACAAGATTGGAGTGTGAAGCCAGCAGCAAATGAGGTGGTGACTGCGCACGCACACGACCAAAGAACTCACGGAGCGCGCCGTGGGAAGCGGAAGGCCTCCTGCTCCATGAGAAGTAACACCTGGCCCTGGCTGGTGTGGCTGGCTCAGTTGGAGCGCTGTCCCATAACTGCAGGGTTGCAGGTTCAATTCTGAGTCAGAGCATATACCTAGGTGACAGGTTCGATCCTTGGTCCAGGTGTACATGGGAGGCAACTGATTGATGTTTCTCTCTATCCCTTTCTCTTCCCCTTCCTCTCATTTAGAAGCAATGAAAAAGAAAATGTCCTCAGGTAAGGATAAAAAAAAGAGAAAAGAAATAAAACCTAGTATAAAACTAGGAGAAAACCTAAGAGGAGAGGCCATTCACAGAGGAGGAAATCCCAACGGCCAGTAAGTGTGGAAAAAAGCGCTCAGCTTCCCCGTAACCAGGGAGATGCTGGTGAAGCCACCATGAAGTGCTGTCATTCCACATTCTCTGGATGAGCAAAAATAAACCAGTGTAAACCCCAGGTGTGGACCTGGTGTGCGTTTGCCTGCTGACACGGTGGACCAGTTCACTGTACTAGAGGGACCAGGTGTTCTGAGTTCAAACGCACATCTTTCCATCCAGTGTCTCTGCCGCCAGCTGCAGCAGGGGCTGGAGGAGGGTGGGTCAAAGCTGTGAATCCAGACGCAGGCACAGGCCACGTGTCCAGCGTTGACTGTGAGAACACTGGCCCCACAGACCAGGGACGGTGCCAGAGACCACCCAGCAAGTCCTGGAGGGCAGCTGCGGGACCCCAGCCCACCAAGGGAACGCACCCATTCTTGAAGGCTCAGCTCTCCCAGAGGACCAGGAGGAGGGCTGACCCTGGCCAGCTGGATGGTGGGGTACATTTCCTTATATTCCCTACATTTCATACATGTTTTGCTTCTACTCTTTGATATTTAAGTGTGCAATCGGTAACAGGAACTGGGAGTGGCAGGGTCGTGGAGGACAGTGGCGAGCGGGGGATCTGTTGGCAGTTGGTTAAAACGAGAACCACTCCTCTTGAGCGCAGCCTTCCTTCCTGTAGCCAGGGAAGCCGTGCGTGCTGGTTGGAACCAGCAGTTACCTCAGTGTCCCTGGGGCGGGGCTGTTGACGACACGAGACACCCCGTGAAGCAGGCGCCAGGCCCAGAGGTGCACGCGGACCTCTGCGACCTCCAGTGTTCCCAGGCTTCACACGGCGATGGGATGCCACGTCCACCAACATCTGCAGCGGCGTCTCCACAGCCGGTACAAAGGTGCGAAATGCAGGGTCTAGAGGACCCATGAAAACCCCGTTTCACGACACCCTGACATGTGGGGAAGCTGCTGGTCAGGGAGCTTTGGCTTTACCTAGAATGTCTGGTCTTTGGGCAAGAATGTTTCTATGTGATTTTCGTGTGTGTTTTAAATGCCCTGGGTTCCTACACTCACAGCAGCATGGCCCACGCGGGCAACTGCAGAGTGGCGTGCGCCCCAAGCTCAGCCAAGAACGGGGACAAATGGCCCTTGGGATGTGAGGACGCTACGAGAGTGGTAATAGACAGCCAGGCCTCATCACCAGCTGTCCGGGATAAGGAGTAGAAGTGGTACCAAGAGAGGTGGTAGCACACAGTCTGCACGGGCATCGTCACAACAGGAAAGACTGACTAGACGCCAGTGCCTGGCACTATTCTTTTGTCACAGATAGAAGCGAATCTGAAAATGTCACACACAGAAGGACACTTATAGATCCAGAAAAAGTTATTGGGGAGCAAACACTCCTTCATTCTTCCACCAGTGGTCCTCTGGGTCTGGGCCACCCGCCAGAATCCTATTCCCACCCCTCCCACCTAAATACCCTGAGTGCCCTCAGGACGTCCCATGGCTGCCCCTCCCGCTCCTCCGCGCTGGGACAGCCCGCCTCTCTGCCTGGGAAGGGACTCAGTGCATGCAGAGCTCACCCAAGTGTACTCGGGGCCCAGGACTAGCCCGGCATTGCAGCTAAGGAGCCACACCTGGCATGGCAGCTCCCCAGAACGGCCGCAGTTCTGGTTTTCTCAGGCAAAAGCAGAGGGTACAGCTGCAGAGTCGGGACACCCACGCTGAGAGCTCAGCCTCAGGCTCTCCCACACTGCCACTGGGAGGAGGGACCTGGAAACCTCTGCCTGCTCGGCCCCATGTGGGTCAGACCTTGGGCAGGGCTGCAAGGTGCCCACATTCATGTCCCACAGCCACGTGGGCACCCAGTGACTGTCTACCGCAGATGGCACCCTGATGTCCCTCCCATCGGCTCCTTTGCCCACAATAGTCCCTGGGAACGTCCCCCGGACAGGCCAGCCTTTGCAGAGATTGGGGTGAGTGAAGTTTGGGCCGTGGAGGTACCTCATGCCAGGGGTTCTCAGCCCAAGCCCCTGGGCCTCGCCCCAGCCTCTAACCTCACTGCATCTATGACGCAGCCCAGGTAGGTGCTCAGGGCCCGACTATATCAACAGAGATGACTCTGTAAAGATGACACAGGACCCTTGAGAGGATGACTTCTTCTAGAAGAAGCTGGGGGAGGGAGGGGGAGGGAGGGGGGGGAGGAGAAGGAAGAGAGCGCACCTCCTTCCAAGTGCCCTGTCCCAGTGAGCACGGGGCTGCTGGCCGTGACTGGAGAAAGACGGACAGGTATCATTGGGGTGTCATGCAGGGGCCCACAAAAAAGCTAGAGAACACACAGTCTGCAAGCAGAACTTCCAGGGATAAATACTTTCTAAATTCCTCTCTTATAAATATGCATTAAAACATTTGATAACACAAGCAAAGGACTCTGAAGTTAATTTAAAATTAAACCAAGACTCAATTTCCTACACTCCCAGCAGGAAGTTCACCTAAAACACCTGAATACCCAAATGCACTTGAAGTCAGCAGCCACGGGCACCCCAGGCCCCACGGCCACCTCAGTCCCGGGGCACCTTGAAATGGTCCTTCTCTTTGCGGATGGCCCTCATGGTGGTGACAGGGTCCACCTCGCCCGCGTGCTGCTGCACAGTCTTCTCCCTGCAGAGCCAAGCATCAGGCTGCGGGCCACAAGCCCCGCCTACTGCCCTCCCAGGACACCGGGGACAAAACGAGCCTGGAGGAGTCCGGGCATTCTTAAAAATAAAATGCAACGGCAGAAGGCCAACGTGGGTGTTCCTAACAGTGGGTGCCCAGACAGCAGGGACATCAACCCCATGCTGGCGTCCAGCACTGCCCAGCACCATGAGGCTCCCCAAGGATGCACTTGTCCACCTATGGGTCCTGCCCCCATGCCCTTGCTAGGGCACCAAGGAAAGTGTTCCTCCTCCCGCCATGCCCCGGCTCCCACCTTTAAGAAAACATGTCTGATTCTGTGGGGATACTTAGTCAAGATTTCAGGGCAGTTTCCTCCACCACTTGGGATCTCCAGAAGGAGTTTCAGCGAGTGGACACGGTGTTTGAGTGAAGCAGAGGCCGAGACGCCCAAGGACAGCACAGGTCCCTGCCTGCGCCCTCACCTCACTCTCATGAATGGATTATAGGTGAACTCCTCTGCAATGATGGACGGCACTGTGGGTTCCCCAATACTGTACTTCTCCTGCAAAAGAAACGCATCACTTTAATACAGAAACTTCTAAATGCCTTCAATCCAAAATACCTTCTCATGATCTTAAAACGTCATCTGACTGAGAAGGCAAAGTGAGCACTCAGGTCGGTGTGAGGTCAGGCCCTTCCTGCTCGTGGAGACGTGGGAGTTGCAGTGGCCGCCAACAACTCGTCCTCCTTCCCTCGCAGCCTTGGAGGCGGAGGGGGACACAGAGCTTCCTTTCCATTAATGTGAAGTTTATGTTTTACATTATAGAAGCAATAAACAGCAAAAATGCAGAAAACACAGAAAAGAGGAAAACGCCCACTGGCCGACTCCCAACACAGTGCACGCGTCGTGCACAGCTCATTACTGGGAAAAACTGTGAGAAGACAAACGTCGTCCCTCCCTGGGGTGACAGCCCACCCCAGAGGGCGGTGAGTTCTCTTCGTGAGGTGTTCAGGCAGGGCTTCCCCTACATGGCTGCCAAGGGAGGAGCCCCCAGGAAGAGCCCTTGATGGGCACCTTATCACCTCCAGCCGGGATGATCTTGCCCCTGACCAACACTGACCAAGGCAAACAGAGAGAAGATGCAAACCAGGCTGTTTGGCCAACTGTCAGCTTCTACAGAAACTCTACGGGAAGGTCAGAATTAACAGCTGGCAGTCTCCACCCTCCTAGCAACCCTTGCCCGTCCGCCTATAGCTAACCCAGAGGGTCACAGGGCCAGAGCTGGGACAGCTGCTGACACCCAAGCCCAGGCTTCCTGACCACCAGGGGCCTCAGACCTGAGGCTCTGGATCTTACCACCCCCAACACTGTGACCACTGGCACCAACAAATAATCCTTCTGCTCCTTTGAAAGAATATATGCACACCTATGTTCACTGCAGCACTATTTACCATAGCCAAAATTCAGAAGCAGCCCAAGTATCCATCAGCAGATGAATGGATGAAACAGCTACAGTTCATTCACACAATGCAATACTACTTGGTCATAAAAAAGAAGAAAATTTTACCCCTTGCAAAGCATGGATGGACCTGGAGAACATTATGCTAAGTAAAATAAGCCCGTCAGAGAAAAGGCAAGTACTGTATGATTTCACACAAATGTGGAATTAAATGGACTGAATTAACAAGCAAAATAGTGACAGACTAATAGACGACAGCAGGTGACAGTGCTGAGTGGGGTAGACGGGGCGGAGGGATGGGGCAAAAAAGAAAACAACAGATGGACATGGACAGCAATGCGATGACGGCAGGAGGGAGGGGGTGGGTGAAGGCAGAGGAAGGTATGGGGGATAAACGGTGATGGAAAAGATACAATAAATAAAATAATAAAAATAAGTAAATAAGTAGAGCCTTAAAAGAAAAAGAATCCTTCAACCGTGACAGGTATATCCAGTAGGAATCTGGCAGGAGGTCAAGATGAAGGTTTACTGCTAATTTCTGTTCTTTCCCTCCTGGTAAAAACGAGCTTAGAATGTTTCATGGTATCCTCTGTGCTTCTCCAGCATTGACTTCTCCTAAAAAGTCTCATTCTATCTCCTGTGAGGGAAGAAAACAAGTTAACGCTTCTAAGGATGATTCTGACACAGGCTCTCACACAGTGGACTGGGGGCATGCGAACCATCATAACCTCTTGGATTACCTATTGCAGTGAGCGTCGGCGAGCCCTGATTTTCCTACGGAAGCGGGAAGGATGCAGAAACGTAGACACTGCAGCACAATTCACAAGAGCAAGAAAGTTGGAAGCCCTAAGTGTCTTCCCCAGTGGGGTTGGTAAAATGATACCTGGGTCACATTCACGCGTTAGTGTGTTTGAAAGTGAGATGGATGGATAGGCAGCGATAAAATGAGCACCGTGAAATGTCATCAGCAGAGCAGGTGTAAGGAATACGAACGTTCACTATGAAGTCCTTCAATGTTTTTATGTGTGTTAAAATTCTCACAATAAATGTTTAAAAGGCTAAAAAAGTTTAACAATTCATTACAAGCCATGTGTCAAAGAAGCAATCACAAAGGACATTTTCTAAATATTCTGAATTGAAGATAATGAAAATGCAACATTTGAAAGTTTGTGGATGCTGCTAAAGCAGGGCTTGGAAGGAAGTTTTTAGCTTTAAGTGCTCATATTAGAAAAGGAGAAAATGATAGTGGAAGAAATACAATAAAGATAATAAATAAAAAGGAGAAATGTCTAAAATCAATTAACTCAGGTTCCATATTAAGAATCTATAAAAAGGGCAAAGTATATTCATAGTAAGTAGATGGAAGGAGTTTTAATAAAGAAGAGCAGAAATCAGTGCAGTAGAAAAACAAACAAGGAAGATTGAGGCAAAAGTCATTCTTATTAAAAATCAACAAAATTTCCCTGGCTGGTGTAGCTCAGTGACTTGAGTGTGGGCCTGGGAACCAAAGGGTCACCAGTTTGATTCTCAGCCAGGGCACATGCCTGGGTTGCAGGCCAGGTCCCCAGTAGGGGGCGTGCAAAAGGCAACCACACACTGATATTTCTCTCCCTTTATCCTTCCCTTCACCTCTCTCTACAAATAAATAAATAAAATCTTTATAAAAAACATCAACAAAATTGGTAAAAAGACACAAATTACCAACAATGGAAAAAAGACACAAACTACCAACACAGGAGAAAAATCTGACCTTGGTAAAAGCAGAGATGTCTTAGTTAGGTGACTAAAAGTATGAGCCATAAAAGAAAGTTAATATGCTGGACTTCACCAGAACTTAAAATGCTTTTCAAAAGACATTGTTGAGAAAATAAAAGTCAAGCCACAGAACAGGAGAAACTATTCACCACACTGTATCTGACAAAACTTGTATCAGGAACATACTTTTTAAAGATATCTTATTATTCAGTAAGAAGAAGACAATCCAATGTTTTAAATGAGCAAAGAGATTTGAACAAACACTTCATTCACAAGATGGCCAGCAAGCATATAAAATGATGCTCGGCATTAGTGGGCACTAGGTAAATGCAACTTAAAATCACACTGAAACACCACTACATAACCGGTAAGATGGTTAGTTAGACTGACAACAGCGAGTGTTGGTGAGGATGTGGAACAACTGTAACTCTCATCCTTTGCTGGCAGAAATGTAACATAATACAAATACTTACAAAAATAGTTTTGACAGTTTCTTTACAAGTCAAATATATACCTAATCCACCCCAGCCATTTCACTCCTAGGTATTTACTCAAGAGAAATCAAAACATGTCACACAAAGACTCGTCCGGAAAAGTTCATAGCAACTTTATTTGCAGCAGCCAATTACTAGAAACAAAACAGACATCTATCAGTAGATGAATGGACAGACAAAATGTGGTCTATCCAAGCAGTGGAATACTATTTAGCAATACAAAGGAACTCATGTTACTGATACATGCAACAACACGAATTCATCTCAGAATCATTCTGCATATGGTACAGTTCCATTTATATATAACACTACTAGAGAATGCAAACCAACCTCTAGTGGCCCACAATAAGGCAGCAGTCCTCTGGAGTGAGGGCAGTGAGAAAGAGGCATGAGGAAGATCTGAGGGTGATGAAATTTTCTGTGATCTAACTGTAGTGGCAGTTGTTTCACTGGTATCCATGTCTGCCACGTTCGCTCAGTTCTTCACTTTAAACTGATGCATTTATTACACGTTTACTAAACCTCAACAAAGCTGATATTAAAAATGGAACAAACAGTATGAAAACCCTGGCAATAAATTTGAAAACCTTGATGAAATGAACAAATTTCTTGAAACATACAAGTTGCTAACAAAACTAACTCAGGAAGATATAAAAATCTAATAGCCCTACACAAAAAATTAATTCATAACCAAAAATATCTTTCCACAAAAAATAATTCAATATCCACATGGCTTCAGTGGTGAATTTTAACCAACATTAAAGAAAGAAATAACAATGATCATAGAAAACTCAGAGAAACTAGAAGGAGGAAACACTTTCTCATTTTATGAGGGCAGTATTACCTTGATATTAAGACAAAGATGATGCAAGAAAATAACACTACAGACCAAAATTCCTTAAGGACAGAAACATAAAAATAGACTCTAGCAACATATGAAAAGGATAATAATAAACTATGACTAAGGTTTATGCAGAAAGCAAGGCTGGTTTTACACCTGAAACCAACTGATCTACTCCACCACATTAACAGAGTAAGAGGGAAAAAAAGTGATTATATAATAAACGAAGACAAACTATTTGACAAACTTCACCACCAACTCATGATAGAAACTCTAAAAAAAAACAGGAATATAAGTAAACTTCATCAGCCTGATGAAGAGGATTTATGAAAAACACACAGCTAATGCCATATTTAGTGGTGAAAACTGAATGCTTTGTCCTTAAGACTGAGAACAAGCCAAATATGTCCACTCCCTCCACTTTTGTTAGCCGGTACAATAAGGCAGGAAAAATAATAAAAGGCATGTAGATTCAAAAGGAAGAAAACTATCTCTACTAGTTGTTGACATGATTGTATGCTAAGGAACTGACAGAAAAGATGCTAGAATAAGTGAGTTTAGCAAAGTTATAAGGACAGGAGGACCTTGTATTTCTAAAGTCTATGAACAATCATTTACAATAAAATCCAAAAACAACTAATGGACCTCAATAAATGGGAAGCTGTATCATGTTCATGGAAAGACTCAAAAAATTTTAAAATATTATGTTTATTTATTTTTAGAGAGAGGGGAAGGGTGGAAGAAAAGGAGAGAAACATCTTGGTTGCCTCTTGACTAAACCTGCAACACAGGCATGTGCCCTGACTGGGAATGGAATCGGCGACCTTCTGCTGTGGGATGACGCCCACCCAACTGAGACACACTGGTCAGGGCAAGAATCAGTATTGTTAAGACCTGAATTCTGTCCAAATCTTTTGTTATAACGTAGTCCAAATCAAAAGTCAAGCTGACTTTTTTGCGGAAGTTAAAAGATGATCCTAAAATTTACACAAAAATGCAAAAGGTTTAGAAGAGCCAAAATCCATTTTAAAAAAGAATAAAGTTAGAAGATTTATACTATCTGATTTCCAGACTTACCAAAAGCTATAGTAATCAAGACAGTATTACTGATGCAAGGGTAAGTCATACAGATCAATGGAACAGAATAGGGTGCAGAAGGAGATTTCTACAGGGTCCATTTTATTCAGCAAAGATGCCAAGGTAGTCCACTGAGGAAAGGACAGTCTTTTCAACAAATGGTGCTGAGCAATTGAATGTCAATATGCAAAAACAGTGAACTTCTACCCTTACCTTATACCATAAACAAAACATTAACCTGAAATGGATCATTGACCTATGGATAAATTTATATGAACATAAAAGATAGAACTGTACAACTTCCGGGAGAAAACAGAAGTCCGTGATGTAGAGGTATGCAAAGATTGTTTTAGATAGGACACCAGAAACATTAAAAAATTAATAGACTGAGCTTCAACAAAAGTATAAACATTTATTCTTTGAAAGATACTGTTAATAAAATGAAAAGGCAGGCCACAAACTGGGAGAAAATATTTGGTATCTATATCCAACAGAGACTTATTCCCAGAATATACAAGGAATTATTACAACTCAGTAAGAAGGCAACCCAATTTTTTAAATAGACAAAAGATTTGAACATACACTTCGCAAGGGAGACATATATAGACCAATAAGCACATGAAAAGACAGTTTCATTAGCCATCAGATAAAACCACCAGGAGATACCACCACATACTATTAAATGGCTAAAATTAAAAAGATCAACAACACCAAATGCTGGTGGGCATATGGAGCCAGTGGCATGTTTATGCATTGCTGGGGGAAAATGCAACATGGTACAACCGACTGGAAAATGGTTTGGTGGTTTCTTCGAAATTAAACACACACTTACCACACAACCCAGCAATTTTACTCTTAGGTACGCCCACATGTGTCCACACACGGACTTGCACACAAAGGTTTGTAGCAACTTTATTTACAACAAGGAAAGGCTGGAAACCCCTGCATCTACAGATGAGTGGATAAACTAGTTGTAGTATATCCATGAGAGATATTACTCAAAAATGAAAAATGAATGAATCTTCAAACTGAGGAAAAGTGCCAGACACATCAGAGTAACGTTGTATGAAGGTCTGGGAAACAGTAAATCTGCAGTGATGGAAAACAGACCAGCAGCTGGATGGGAAGGACGCTGAATGGGAAGGGGAGGAAACCTTTGGGACGGTGTGAATGTTTTTTATCGTGATCGTGTTGGGGGTTACACGGGTACATACATGGTCAAAATGCATGAACTGTACAATGCTCGCTTGGGTACTTTTCATTGTATGTAAATAATACTTAATAAAATTGAGTTTTTAAAAAGCAGATACCCATGAAAAGCATGAGTTCAATAAGTAAACTGCTACAGAAAGAGCACTAGGACCAAATATGAAGTGAAAAGAAAGCCACAAAGCAGTATGTATGACTATTTATAGCATCAGCTTTTTATACTAAGTACTCATACATGAGCAGTGTTAAAAAATGGGCTATTTATCAACTGATCATGACAGTATTTGAATTTTTATAGGTATTATAAGTCCACCCTCAAAAAACTGATAAGGATGCTCAACGAAATCAGCGAATTCATCGAAAAGAAAATAACCCGTGTGAGGTAGCTGTAAGTCAGCAGAGGGGAGCCCGCCCGGCCCCCCGGCCCCCCAGGTCTGTGTGTTCCTCCCTGCCACCGTTTCTCATGACTGAAGTGGGAAGACAGACGCCTGCAGTCCAGGGGAACCTCTCTGCCTGCCCAGGGCACCTGCAGCTGTCTCCAAACCCCTCACCGAACACACCTTCAGGTGTGTTAAGCCCTGGGCTGAGCAAAGGAGCAAGTTTGGAGCCATCGCTGAAATAAATGACAAATGGCCTCCAGAGTGAAACTGCTGCCACACAGTCCCACCTGCGGCTCAGGGCACGGGCAGTGCCTGGGGATCTGCCAGTTCGGCCTGCAGGGGCACTTGCTGGAAACACACTCCTAGGCCCGGCCCAGACCCACTGAAGCCGAAAGGGTCTGACAGCCACCTGGCTCCCGCACAAACTTTGGGAGGTCTAAATGTTAGCTCGTTTATGGCCCTGCGCAGCACTTGCTGCCCGCTCTAGAAATGATGCCTTGAGTGCCAGCAAACCAGGTCCTCCATGGTCCCAGGAAGTCACTTCACAGTGACTGACCCACAGGACATGCCCCATGGCACATCCCACTCACCTTGGCCCAGGCCAGTTTCTCCTGAATGGCAGTGTTGCTGGGCTCCACGTGGCGAGCAAACTTGAGATTGTTGATGGTATATTCATGGCCACAGTACACTCTCTGAGGAAAAAGCCAAACCCATGAGCTCTGAAGAGACTTATTAATCCCTCCTCAAACTCCTCAGAGACGGGCCTCAAGGGCCCTGGGCTGGACCAGTGACACCCAGGGAGACGTGCCTTAGGACAAGACACTCCTTGCATGTATATGAAACAATAAGAAGTACATTGACAGAAAACTCACAGTTCTGCCCTCCCCACAAATAGGGGTAACCACCAGAGGGGGGGCAGGTGGGACAGAAGGCAAGGGGACAGAGTAGGAGGGCAGCCAGGGAGCTCGAGAAGGGCTCTGCCTACTGTGTCAGGAGGGAGCCGGCCCAGGACCTCGAGCAGGGCTCTGTACATCTCATCCGCTGTCCCTTCATAGAACTTCCCACAGCCGGCCACAAACAAGGTGTCACCTGAAAGCAAACAGCCACGGAGCAGTGAGGCCACCAGTAAGACACACCCCCTCGAGAGGCTGATGGTTCACTACTGGATAATGCTGACCACCCACCACCTGTGGGCCAAGGCTTCCCCTTGTCCCTGGGGCTGACTGGGGCCCAGCCTCAGATGTACCCACCACCTAGGTAGCTGACAGGGCCCAAAGAGAGCCCACAGCTCTTGGTTCTTACCTACCCCAGAACTTCCCACTGAAGTTTCACCCACTGGTACCCCCAGCCTCCAAACAGCTGCTCAAACCCAAACCTTAGAGTCACACTGACTCCTCCCTTCATTGCCCAGTCCCATCAGCTGTAGTGACAAGATCCCCACACCTGCCCAGCAGCCCCCTCTCAGGCCAGGCCTCCCTGCATCTTCCCTTATCCCCGGCATCCAGGGCCATCCTGTAACACCCTCCATGATCTCACCAGCCCCATGGGGCACTCCGGAAGCCCCTCATAAGGGACCACAGACCACGAGGGCCCTCAAGATGCAAACCTGCCACTGCAGATCACTCCTTCCTGCCTCCGACCCTTAGACAGTGTCCTCTCTGCCTGACACCCACCAGGTCTCCGCACACTGCTGCTTCCCTCTCCTGAGAACCAGCTCCATGCCAAGTGGAAGCCCACAGACACTTGTTCTCCAGCCCCTTTATTTTATTTATTTATTTATTTATTTATTTATTTATTTATTATCTATCTTTAGAGGGGAAGGAGAGAGGGAGAGAAACAATGTGTGGTTGTCTCTAGTGCGTCCCCTGCTGGGAACTGGCCTGCAGGGAACTGGCTTGCAACCCAGGCCTGCACTCGATCCACTGAGCTACACCAGCTGGGTGGGGTCCAGCCCCTTTATATGAGGAGGGCCTGGGACCCCTCAAACACTGAGCAACATCCCTCTTCCATCAGCACTTGTGAACCCTCCTCCCCATCCCACACAGCAAAAGCCAAGGCTTCCCCTCAGAAAAAAAAACAACTATGGAGTGAGGTAGGGGGTAGCCTATAAGCAAAGCCTCAGCACATAGGTCAAGGGCCCTGCAATTTGAGTCTGGGGACTGGCGAGAGGCCAACGAGACCCAGAAGAAAGCCAGCCACTCAGGCAGAGGGCCCCGTCCAGGGATGGCAGCACCTGCTGTCTGCACACCCAGGAACTTCATGGGCCTTCTGCTGCTGGGGCCAAGGGAGCCAGGTCCTCATAGGGTTGCATCACGGCAGCGAGGACACTAAGCGACCTGGGGCCTCTGTGTCCCTCCCTGGCAGCCAGGACCACTGTTCTGCACCCTGGCCTTTGTTGTCTCTCTCTCACACTCTACCGCCAGCTGCCATGAGTGCCAGGGGGCATACCACCTCTCCAACAGGCCCAGCTCTCCAGCAGGCCGCCCCTCTACCCCGAAGTCCTGTGGAGCTAGCCATGGTTCTAGCACCTAACACGGCCTCCTTCCCCGGGCAACTGAGCTGTTCCTGTAGCCTTGGCACTCATTGCCATGAGCTGGGGTCCAAGACCTAAGGTCCCAGACTACCCGAACCCTTCAGGTGCAAATGCCCCACTGGCCAACATGGCAGTACCCTGCTCCCTCAACCGGGCCTGTCCCTAGATCGCCTTCCCCACTTCCTCCCCAGACCTGTCGGGGCTCAGTCCTGCCCACCACATCCCAGGGCCAAAGCCACACCCTTCTCTGCACTGTCACCTCCTCTGATTACATCTCAGGGAAGAAGCATGGCCTTGGGTCACTCGGACCTGGGCCTGAGCCTGGGGCCATCAATACTCCCGCCTTTGGATGCTGCAGGCCACTTTGCTGTACACACAGGCCAACTGGGGCCCTGCTGGGCCGTCCTACTTCCCACACCACTAGTCCTCACTGTAGATGCCCCAGACCCCTTAGCTTCCCCACTGAGGACACTATGACTTTTCACGTAGTTATGATTAAAGTCGTCAATAAGACAGTATCCTCCCTGCCAGCTGCTGTCACACAGACAGCAGTAATGACTCATGCAGGACATAGTTCAGGTCTGTATCTGCAGCAGTCAGCCCTCCACACCTTGCAAAGTGGGACTCAGCTTCTAGCAGCACAGTCCCCAGGGACCCACCCCCCAGGTCTTGACAACCCTGAGAGGCACTGCCTTAGCAGCCAGCAGATAAGCAGACCGAAGTCCAGTAGGGACAGGAGTGCGATGTGCTGAGGGTTTGCCAACCCAGGCACCAGCAGCACCCCCCCTTCATCCTCAGGCCCACCCACTCAGTGGGGAACATTTTGCTTCCACAGCACCCACAGGGAAAACCACTTCAGGGCAGCATACACGTGGTGCGTAGGCCAATTTCCCTACTCTGCACCACCATCAGACTTCACCCATTATGAGGCCGGGGCTGCCGTGGTGTGCCCAGGGACCTGCAACCTGATCCACAGCCCCAAACCCCCATCACTGCAGTAAAGATACTGAAAGCAGCTGTATATATATTTTAAAAACCACAGAAAAATTTTATACCTGGAGATAATTTTTAAAAAATACAGAACGCTTCACAAATTTGCGTGTCATCCCTGCACAGGGCCACACTAATCTTCTCTGCATTGTCGCAGCGTTAGCGTGCGCGCTGCCGCAGCGAGCACAGGTCTGGAGATAATTTTGGGTTTGTAGACAAGCTACAAAGACTGCCTAAGCACCCTGCTTTGGCTAGTATTTCCCTTAACATCTGTGTCCCCCAGTGTATCTATCAAAACTACAAGCCTGCACACCCATGTTGATATTGACTAAACTGTAGCCCAGACTCGATGCACATTTCCCCTCAACACCCCTTTTCCATAGCAGGAGCCATGCCAGGAGCCCACTTTACATTCAGCCATTGTATTTCTAAACGAACTCTCACGGCAGCTACAATATCATGATTGTGACTTAGACTTCGGGAAGGCTCCGAGCTCAAAAGCTGTTTACAGTCGCTAAACAAGTTAAGGCGGCAGTGGGGCTCCCTGGGGCCAACAAGCCTGCTCTCAGCTGGGCAGTCTTAACCATTCCTGCCCATCGTGGCCACTGGCTCTCCTCACCCTGGTTGCCGCACGGCCATTCCACTTCATAGGTTCCCCAACCAGCATCAATGTTCTTTCTTCTCTCAAAAGAGGAAAAATACCTCCAATTGCTGGCAAGGCCTGCCTGCCCTGACTGAGTGCCACTCACACAGCCCAGTGCTGGGCCATGCTTCACAAACCTTACTCCAGGCCACAGCCACTGCAGACTGTGGCTCCCACCTGAACTCATCCAGCACCACCTGAGCTTGTCTGGGCTGCCAGGCCGGCTGCTCTCAGGGTTGCTCTGTGTAGGAAACCATGACCAGGGGCTGCTATTGACTTTGCCACACCCAGCGAGGCTCTCAGCCAACGAAGGGATGCACGATGGGAGTACTCAGAAGGGCACGTGAGTCCCACGTGAGGCAGGTCTGAGGCTCACTGCCCTGCCCACCTGGCAGCTGATGGAGGCAGTAGGGGCTGGGGCTACACCCCCACCCACCATGCAGTCTCTCAAGGAAAGTGTCCCCAGGGCACCTGACAGTGGTCAGAAGGAAGCACAAGACCAGCCTTGCCAGGAGCCACTCTCCTCTCTGTCTACCCAGCCTGCCCATGCCCCAGTGTGTTTGAAGCTAAGCCCCAGACTTTGGCCCTAGGGCTGGGGTCCTCCTCACTCAGCCCTGTATAGTTTTAGGCAGGAAATGCTCTGCTTCTCCTCCTCTGTGCCGAGAGGGTATTGCAAAGAATGCCCAACCTCCAGCAAACACACCTGAACCCTCACCTGTAAACACAGCAGGGGGCTCAGAACTGCCAGGCTTGCTCACAAAGTAGCAGATGTGTCCAGAAGTATGACATGGTGTTGACAGGCACTTGACATTGAGAGACCCCACCTGAAACAAAGCACATGCTGGTGTGTGCTCTTAGGGCTCATAAGTGCACAGCCCGCTGGTCCCACAGGGTCTCACCTCAGACCCCAGGCCCACTACACAGGAAGACATGGATCTTGCTGGGGACCATGGGATATAGCCCTCGAGTGTGACCCCAGGGGCAGGGATCACTTTAGAACCTGATATTTGCTGACATGCAAAACAAAAGGGGCTCATTTTGTTTTTTCCCTCAAAATTGGGCCAAATCTGAACTAGGTGTCTTGCTAGAAAAGATGGTTTTACTTCTTAGGTACTTGGTCTTTTTTTCTGTTTTTCTTCTGTCTTCCTCTCCCTCCACCTCGTTATATCAAAGATACAAAAAATTGAAATAAAGATGAAAATCCACATGACCTTTACCTGAGTCACCAAATGCTGACAGTTCCATCTGTGGTATATGCTCTCTCCACACACACGCATTTCAAGTCACACACATCCTGACAAACTGCCCCTAAATAGTCCAGGTGCATCTACTAAGAAAAAAACATCCTCCTACATAACCTTGCTATCATCACATCCAAGAAATTTAGCACCAGCATGAGAATATAATCCCATGCAGAGCCTGTATTTAAATTTCCCCAATTATTTCTACACAGTTATCTATAGCTTCTTCCCCCATTGAGTCACCATTTGCACACTGATTTGCTTGTCATGCTTCCAACAGAGGGAAGTGTCCAGGCCTGGGCAGCCCCAAGAGGCCCTCCACCCACCCACTGGTCAGGCTAAGTCCAGAGCCCGAGCCCTTATGTGCCCCTCTAGGTCCCTAGAATAATGGAGGGGACAGCCCTAGGCTCTAGGGCCTGGTGTCCCTTTCTGTTGGGGTCCACTCCTCACCTGCAGTGTAGACAGGTGTGTGACCTTGTGAGTCAGGGCCCCGATCCGGTCATCGCCCCCGTACACCTTCAGTCCAGGCTCCAGCTTGACCAGCTTCTCATTTCCACCAGCATGGTCCCTGGAAGTCAAAAAGACCTAGGGGTACTGCCAATATGATGGGGGTCTGCTTGCTTGTCAACCCTGACCAAATAGGATTATTTTTCCTTTTTATTCAATTTATTGGGGTGATACTGATTAATAAAATTATATAGGTTTCAGGTGTACAATTCTGTACATCGTCTGTCTATTGTATTATATGTTCACTACAAAACAGAATTTTTATTTGCCTAGTTACGTTTCTGAGAAATAGAAATGCACCTTCCAACACAGGAAACTGGCTCCACCGAAAGGAATGTCCTCCGACACCCTGTCCCTAGCCGGTTCTTTCCGTGGCCCCGCCTCAGCAGCGCTTCAGAAAGGGGTCCAGGGAAGAGCTCTGCTCCCTGGCTCTAAGGGGCCAGTCGCAGGGCAGGGCGAGGAACGCACCAACACCCGACTGTCAGCCACTCCAGGGCGAGGCCAGGGCTTTCTGGTCACGAGGGAACATCTGCTCCTCACTACATATTCACTTACGGACTCTTCTGATACGCCCAGAAGCAGCAGGGCCCGAGATAAGGGGAGGCAGCCCTCCGCCTCCCTGCCCTCAGAGGGCCAGCCCCTCAGCCCACTCAGCACCACCACCCATAAGCGGGAAGGAGGCACACCCTAAAGCTCAGTTTAGGGCCTGGTTTAGGATCTGTGTTCTAGCATAAACATGAGGTCCTGAGAAAACCCTCCAGAGAAGCAACATCTGACATGGGGGTTTCTTAGGAGAGAAAAGTAAACTGTGCAAACCTGAGGAAGGAGGAGGCTTCCTGCATCTACATGGAGGCCCAAGAGGCCTGAGTTTTTCAGAGGAAAGTGTGGCTGTGCTTTCTTGTTCAGGCCATGGACAGGGCTGTAGACTCCGTCCCTTTAGGAATTAGCACCTGACATCCCAGAGACTCAGCAACTTAGTTACATCAACACAGACATTTCTACCATTTAACAAATGTTGGCCAAACCACATCCATTCAACACTACAGGTGAAAGGCCTCATTTTATTCACTTGTATTTTTTAAAAGATTTTATTTATTTTCATAAAGAAGTGAAGGGAGGAAGAAAGAGAAGGAAAGAAACACTGATGTGTCAGAGAAACATCAGTCAGTTTTCTCTCACACACACACCAACCGGGGACCACACCTGCAACCCAGGCAGGTGCCCTGACTGGGAATCGAACTGGAGACCTCTTGCTCTGCAGGACAACACAGCCTACGGAGCTGTGCCGGTAAGGGCAAGGCCTCACTGTGTTACTGGGGGGAGGGAGCCAGTGAAGTGGAGCGCCTGCAGCCTGACTTACAGCCTGCTGTGGGGACGGGTCCGTGTGAAGGCATCAGCTGCCCGCAAGCAGTGATTTGGAAAAGAAAGTTCAGAGCCAAATAAACATTTTTTTTTTTTTAGCTTTGAAGAGCCTCAGAAGTTTCAAAAAATCCAAAAGAAAGACCTTGGACAGAGTTCTAGTCCTAGTGCTTTTTCACCATTTAGCCTTTTTATTAATTAAAAGAAAAAACAAAACAAGCAAAAAAAACCCCCTCCACAACCTCTCCAAATATGGCTGCTGATTTTTAAAAACACTAATGTCTAGTCTAGTTTCTTCCCCAACATTGAGGCCAACATCCCATCTCACAAACACAGGGCTTTCGAAGACACTGCTGGGGTCCTCGCAGGGCGGAAGGGCCCCCAGCACAGCATCCCCCCGAAGCCCCTAAGTTACCAGACCCATCAAGGGCCCAGGGAATGAGGCAGCAGCGTGGAGGCTGACACCTGAAGCCTTTTCAGAATCCCACTGGAGGCAGAGCCTCCGTAGCACAGTGGTCACAGCTGTGGGGCACAAGCGACCCAGCTGCCAGCTGCAGGAGGGCCCAGGCAGCCTGTGAGAACCCACCTGACTCCACCCGCAGGGTGTGCCTGGCACGGAGCCGTCAGGCCCAATCAGCTCTGCTGCCCTAGAGGGAGCTCGGCTTCTGGGGAGGAGGGCTTACCAATGGTGGTGGGTGGTGAGCAGTGTAGTCAGCTTCACACCGTGCTTTTTCACCATTTCTACAACCTGCAACCAAATGTGAGGCAGGACAGAGGCCACCATCACACTCCCAGTGCTGGCTCAGCGGCCTGCAAGGTGGGTGTGCCCGGCGGAACCCAGGGTGTACCAGGAATGGCCAGGTCCGGTCCTGACCCTGCCAACTCAACCTAACTTCAGTAGAGCAGGGTGAAGGTGGCCTTTATCTCTTTTAATCCGCTTGGTAGCTCAGTATCCCCCACAACCTCTCTACACCCCTCTGGCCCAAAGCCTGAAGGGAGGGTGGACAGTGCAAGGACACCACCTGCTTCTCTGCCCAGGGACTTTGCAGACAAGCCCTTTCCTTTCTTTCTATGCCAAAGCCCCTGGTCACTCCTACCCCTTTCATGGGCCCTTTGCCCCCAACAGCATTGGCTGGGCATGAGTTAAATTGTTAAAAATTAATGGATTAATTAATAGTTAGCTTCAGCCAAGTTGCAAGAGCACTGCAGTTATCAAACCCATGGGGAAAAAGAACTGGTGCTGGGGACACACCTCTCACCTTCTGGGGTTGCACTGGGTCCACGATGGCGGCCTCCTTGGTGTCGTCATCGATGATCAGGTACATGTAGTTGTCCGTCAGAGCTGGTAGTACCTCAACCTTCATGGCGGTCTGTTCCACAGTCAAGCTCTTCCTCAAATCCGTGTGACAGAGGACTCCTAGCAGGGCTGAAGACAGAGTGCAGTTTTGGTCAGCATCCACATGAGGCCACATCAATCATAGACTCAAAACAAGTCCTCAATGACCCAGCAGTAGGGGCATCCTGGGGACTTGACATCCAGGACTGACATGGGGCAAACATCCAAGCATGAGGCTCGCAGTGCAGGATTTTTTATATTTCTTTGATAGAGAAGAAGATATTCTCATTTAACCACATCGATAAGGAAAATCTAGAACATGGTTCATGTTTGTATTCAAGGAAATCAGCTCTTTAGGATTTATAATACTTATTTTCTTTTTCAAGAGTTCTAAAGGGATAGAAAGACCAGCCTGTGGCTGTAATTCAAACAATCAGCATGCACACTATTGTCAGTTCTAGTTGTTTATGCCTGATTCAGAGAAGACCATGAAAAGAAGAAACCCAAAGTGAAAGTGCCAAGCTGGGCTATTTCTTACCCACAGCACATCGCTGCCTCTCCAGCTAATGCAGCCCAGTCACCTGGAGCTACTTGCAGCCCTTCTTAGGCCTCCAGCCAGAAAAGAAAACAATACGGCAGGAACTAGAAACTTGGAGCATGCACAAAGACCGACAGGGCGTGAGAAACGGAGCGTTGGCCATAAGTGCTCCAGATTTGGGTGCCCAGGATATAGACTCAGCATCCAACTGAGCCAGAGGAGTCTGCCGGGACGGCGGGAGAGACTGAAGGGCCAAAGCATCTTCTAGACAGCAGACAGGTGCCGGGGTATTTTCAACAATGCAACTCTTATTACTATTCAATCTAAAAATTCGCAGAGGCCCCAATAATACTTTAAGTATTAGTATGAAAGGGATTAAAACTGCACAACAAGTGTCGCGGTTCGATTCTCAGTCAGGGCACATGCTTGGGTTAAAGGCCAGTTCCCAGCAGGGGACGCATGAGAGGCAACCATCCATTGATATTTCTCTCCTTCTCTCCTTCCCTTCCCCTCTAAAGATAAATAAATAAAAAATTTGAAAAACAAAAAAACTGCACAACAGAGGTGACAGAAGGCGTCCATGAAATTCTGGGGTCGGTGCTGGGATGGGGACCTCTCCCTAACAAGATCCAGAAAGCAGGAAGCACCAACTGACTGAAAGACAGACCAGCCATGTCTCCAGGGGCCGTCTAAAAGCAGATTCAGCCCTGGCTGGTGTGGCTTGGCAGACTGAGTGCCCGCCTGTGAACCGGAGGGTCACTGGTTCAATTCCCAGTCAGGGCACAAGCCTGGGTTGTGGGCCAGGTCCCCAGTAGAAGGTATGGGAGAGGCGACCACACATTGATGTTTCTCGCCCTTTCTCCCTCTTTCTAAAAATAAGTAAATAAAATCTTCAAAAAAAGAGAGATTTTTTTAAAAAAGTAAAATAAAAGCAGATTCAACGGTATACGCCATGGCCAGGGAAAATGCCTGAACTGCAGCTTTAATGATCACACACAGATGTCCTTTCCTTTGACAGCCAGCTGGGCATTTTCCAGGCCTTTTCCTCATGCATAGCAGAACAAACATTTTTGTAAGGTTAAGTCTCTGACGTTCCTTCCACCTTCCCTGAGCCCCAGTGCTATCGGAGCCTGAGAGCTCTACTACACAGAGCAGTGTGTGTACTAGGGATGGGGGTGGGAGGAGAGCTAAAAACGAAACTCCACATCTGGAAGCATCCCCCTCAAAAGGGGGCCCTGTTTATGTATTTCCCATAGAACATTATCTACACTGCCCAAGTGAAGGAAACATTATTCAATTGGCTCCTGGGAACCTGGAGAAGATGCTGCTATCTCTACGGAAAGAATTCATCTGGTGCAGTCACCACCAGAAACCTTATTCCTTTGCCAAAAATTGTGTCACCTGGCCTGCCACAGCCTGAGAAACGCCCCTAGCTCACTGGTTTGCAAATGTGATCTTCTGTGTAATCAGAGGGCACAGACCTACAGCGTATGGCACTTCTGGCAATTCCCAAAGTCCCACTTACACTATCTGTCCGACTTCTGACACAAAAACTCTTAGCTCTGACACTTTGATGAGTTTTCTTAAATGGAAAAAATAGGCTCTTTCCTTAGTAATGGTGACACTTTACCCACTCCAGAACCTTGACTGCTTTCAGTGGGATTTGGAAACGGCCAAGGGTGGCTTCACTGCTTGTTCAATCTGCCTGCCTGGTGCCCTCCCACCATTTAGCTGTTAACCGGGTCCTAGAGGCTGGGGTTAACCTAGTGCCCCTATTGCTACATCGGCCAGATAAAATATCAGGAAATAAAGAAAAGGAGATTTCAAAATAAAGGTCAAAATATTCCAACAAAGCAATAGGTTGGACTCTAATCTGACAGCGGAAGAGCCCAGCCTTGGAGGCCAGTTTGCCCAACGCCTCTCATTTCAGAGGCACCAATGAAATGACAGCCAGGGAGGGCCAGGGCCCCACGGATCACAGGACCCAGTCTTGTTGGAATCCAAGCATTGCTCCAGGGTTCTCCCCTTTAATATCACTTCAGAATCCGTGTCCCGGGTTCTTGTCAGCCAAAGCTCGAGATGGAAAGATGTGATTTAATTTGTGGAGAATATACATAGCGTTCCTCTGGCTCTAAGCAGTGACATCACACCTGGGCACTGGAAATACGGAGTTTCGGGATAGGGTGAAGGGGGGGAACTATGTGGGGAAACCGCCCCCCCCCCAGCAGGGAGGCCGGTCGGAGCGCCGGGGAGCCGTGTGATCACTTAGCATAAACCCTTCAGCAAACCCAGCTGACCAGGTACCCTGCGCTCACCCCTCTCAAAATCCGACCCAACTGCGGTGCAGCCTTCCTCCACCACTACCCGCACGCTGCAGCCAGCGAGGGGGGGAAATCCTACGTCGACAACAAGCGGCGTCAGTCTCCGCGGCCAGTTGATTCCCCGCCGACACACCCAAGCGGGCGGGCGGGCTGCGTCCGTGCCCAACGCCCGACTGCGGGGCGCCGGCGCTTCTGGCACGTCTCGGGGAGCGCGGCTGGCCTAACTGCCCTCACCTGGCTGCGACATTCGGCAGGAGTCAGGCACCCAGCCGGTCCCCGCCCCCGGGGCCCTGTCGCTCTTAGCTCTGCCCTGGCGCTGGCCACCCCCGGCAGACTTACCCAGGCCGCGGCGGGCGCAGGCAGCCCCCAGTGCGGTTAGACTCCGAGAGCCCAGAAATGGGCCCAGCACCATGACAGGGGGAGGCGGACCGGAGGCTCCGCAGGGCGCGGGTGGGCGGCACTCGCCAGCCTCCCCGCCCACCTCCCCACCAATCAGCGCTCGCGCCCAAACCCGTGCCCCTTTCCCCCCGCCCCTCCCCCGCAGGCTAGAAGCAGGGAATTGGCTGCAACTGGAGAACAACACTAGAGCCTCCGCCTCTTTCCGGGGACCTGGCGGGCGTCCTAGACAGAGCCCGGCAGCCCAGCGGCAGCCACCAGAGGGCAGCTCCCAGGAGGCCGAGCGCTGCGACTGGGGCGCACGGTGGGAAGCACAAGCGGAACCTGCGGTCGCGGTCGGGATTGAGCTCTGAGGTAATTCGTCCTCTCCGGGTAGCCGTAGGCATCAGGAGATCAGCCCAGACCCAATCTATGTGACTGTTGGGGCCTTAGGCTAGAGGCATGGCGGCTTCCAGGCAGCTGTCTCGCTTCTGGGAGTGGGGAAAGAACATCGTGTGTGTGGGCAGAAATTACGCGGACCACGTCAGGGAGATGCAGAGCGCGGTGCTCAGCGAGCCAGTGCTCTTTCTGAAACCGTCTACCGCCTATGTCCCCGAGGGCTCGCCCATTCTCATGCCAGCCTACACCCGGAACCTGCACCACGAGCTCGAGCTGGGCGTGGTGATGGGCAAGCGCTGCAGCGCTGTCCCGGAGTCCGGGGCTATGGCCTATGTGGCCGGTTATGCCCTGTGCCTAGACATGACCGCAAGGGACGTGCAGGACGAGTGCAAGAAGAAGGGGCTGCCTTGGACTCTGGCCAAGAGCTTCACAACCTCCTGCCCTGTCAGCGCATTCGTACCCAAGGAGAAGGTCCCAGACCCTCACAACCTGAAGCTGTGGCTCAAGGTCAATGGCGAACTCCGGCAGGAGGGTGAGACATCCACCATGATCTTTACCATCCCCTACATCATCAGCTACGTTTCTAGGATAATAGCCTTGGAAGAAGGAGATATTATCCTGACCGGGACGCCAAAGGGAGTTGGCCCTGTGAAAGTAAACGATGAGATCCAAGCTGGCATTCATGGCATTGTCAGCATGAAATTTAAGGTGGAAAGACCAGAATATTGATTCTACACAAAACACCATAACATCTTAGTTTTCAGAAGAGAAGGGAGCTGGACAGAAGCAAGCCAAGGTTATTAAAAGTGACAATTCTTTAATAATAAACCAATTTTTAAAGATGATTTGATCGGATTGCTATGCCTCAACTCAGGAAAGACGAAAACTCCAAGAAAAACAACCTGGAAGAGCTGTGTCAGAAATGGAAAGGAGAGAGAGAGTCTCTCTCTTCTAGGAAACCAACAGAATAAGGTATTTGTGATGTCTCCAATGAAGAGAATTTATCAAACCAAATGTTCAGAAGACATTCCCTTCCTAAAATTGAACTGGTTAAGATTTTTCTGTGAGTCATTCTGGGATCAGTAGTTCAAGAATTGAAATATGCAAAGGACGTTGCAAAGCGTGCTTCAAATCAGTGCGTCCCATAGTTCCTTGGTCACGGTGATCATCTGGAGATCTTTTAAAAAGATATTTCCAAATTACCAGTCCATACCAGGCGCACTGTATTATTCTCCAGCAGAATTAATCTCCAGCACTCCAAGTGATTCTTACGATGTGTAGAAAAACATTACTCCCCATAATCAGTTAATTTAAAATTTTCTTTAATCAGTTAACAATGAATGATGACCTCACTTGTTTGTACCCTGGCTCATAGATTCTGAATTTAAGAGATAATTTTGAAACAATTGTTTACAAATAAATATGCTGTATTTTGTGTGGCCTAAAGGTGTGCTTTTTTTTCTCCCCTGATAGTGGCTGGGAGGGATATTTCCTTATTAAGAGGCTTCAGACCTTGGTCTCTGACCTTTGGTCTGGTGAGCACTGTGCCTTATTAACAGTTAGTCAGCATCTCTACGTCCTGACTAGAAATATGGAGGCTTTAGGGAAGTTGAGTGGCCTGGGAGTGCTACTTTTGCTTTCACCTGCTTCCCCCTCTAAAAAACAAGGCTAGTCAAGCCCTGGCCAGGTTGCTCACTTGGTTGGTGCCTCATCACGTTGCAGGTTTAATCGCCAGTCAGCGTACATACCTTGGTTTCGGGTTCCATTCCCTGTCAGGGCATGTATGGGAGGCAACTGATCAATATTTCTCTCACAGTGATACTTCTCCCTTTCTCTCCTTCCCTCTTTTCTCCCCCTTCCTGATCTCTCTTTAAATTCAATTAACATGGACCCTTGGGTGTGAATTATTTTTTTAAAAAAGGCTAGGGAACCTGCAGAGCTCTCAGGCTGCTGTATGGAGTCCTTTAGGCTTAAGCAGGGACTCCTGCTGTTAGTGTAAACAGAAGACATTTGCTGACCCGAGGATGCTTCAGTACAGTAATAACGGCTAACATTAAGCCCTCAGTACTGCTAGGAACTGTGTCAGGAGTTTTCCATGTATTATTTAACCCTCAACGAAGCTGTGAGGTTGGTACTGCTACCATCTCTGTTACACAGATGAAGATGTAGATTCAGAGGCTGGCCAGCCAGACTCTCCAGCCACTCAGCTGAGTGACAGAGCCAAGATGTAACCCCAAAATCCCAATACCAGAACCTGAAGTCTTGACCTCAGTGTTGGCTGCATCTTTTAAGTAGATATATAAAAAGTCACAGCCCTGGCTGGTGCAGCTCAGTAGATTGAGTGCAGGCTGCAAAGCAAAGGGTTGCCAGTTCAATTCCCAGTCGGGGCACACGCCTGGGTTGTGGGCCAGGTCCCCAGTACAGGGCGTGGGAGAGGCAACCGTATATTGATATTTCTCTCTTTCTCTTCCCCTTTATCTAAAAATGAATAAATGAAATATTTAAAAAATAAATAAGAGTTCTGTTAAAAAATTATAAAAAGTCACAAATGTTTAGGTATTATGCAACTCTCATATTTAAGTTATAATTTACTATGAGGCACTCCCATTGTATTGATTAAATGTGCTATCTTTTAATCAAGTTTTTAATTGCTTAAGTAATACATGTTTATTATGGAAGAGTTAAAAATTACAGATAAGCAAAAAGCAAAAACTCAAAATTTCATCTACCCAGAGACAGCCAAAGTGAAGCATTTGATGTACATTCTTCCAAATATGGAGTAATTGTAATTTTTAGCACCTCACTCACTCACGGAACTTTATAACCTAGTTTTTTCACCATATAGTGTGACAATATCATGTCAGGCTGCACATTCCTATAGCACTATTTGCAGTAACTGCATAAGATTCTGAAGTCAGTCCATTTTTGGCCATTGAGATTGTTTCTACTTACTGGCTAGCAGACTCAGCCCGCTGTTACTTCCTTTGGCTAGGTTCCCAGAAGCAGAAGAGTTGAATCAAGTGTGTACTCATATTGAAAGTGTATTAGTGCAGTTAGCAGTTACAAGATTCAGCTGAGGTAAGTCTACCAAACGGACAGACTTGAAAGCAGGCTAAAGTTGAAGTCACATAGCTCCCTTGGGTGGCACAAGCCAGCACCCAGGCAGTGTACGGTGCCCCCGAGGTCAAGGTTCACCACAGTGGTTCACAAGCTTTGTCTCAAACAGCTGACAACAGCATTTCAGGTGTAGCGCACAAAATCCTTGGCTGCAAGAATAAAAAACTAAGAGAATCACTAATTCCCGCAAATCCTGATGTCACTAAAACACGTGAATCCTAGCACCTAGAAGGTACATTTCCCCCCTTTTTATTTTGAATAAATTTAAACTTAGTAAAAAGTTGAAAGAAATAGTACAACAAACTCCATATACCCTTCACTACACACACACAAACACACACACCCAGATGGGCAAAAGTCGGTTTACAGTTGTGAGTACTCAAAAGTTTATTTTTATTTTACTATTTATTAATTATTGTTTTATTTTCTATGTGAACAACTGTAACACCAAAGCCTTCCTAAAAACTTAGTTAAACGGCCATTTACAATTTGGTTCTGTGTTACGAAAACATCTGGATAGACAAGAAAGGGTTTTCAATATTAAACAAATGAAAGTTAACTTACACAGCCTTTTCTCCCATATCAAACATGTTTCTCAAGTTGAGTAAGCATAGCTGAGGGTAAAATAACTGCTGTCAGAGCCAATAAAGTTAGTCTACTTTCAAATTTTTCTTTCCTTTTAGATGGAGAGGTAGGCCTCTTTGAGACTGTTGAATTTAAAAATTTTAATTTATAGGATACAGAAATTGTAAGAAATGTTATGACTAAGACATTAATTATATTTTTATTTTTTAAATTTTTATTTATTTATTTTTAGAGAGGGGGAAGGGAGGGAGAGAGAGGGAGAGAAACATCAATGTGTAGTTGCCTCTTATGTGCCCCCCACTGGGGACCTGGCCTGCAACCCAGGCAAGTACGTGCCCCACTGAGAATCAAAATGGCGACCCTTTGGTTCACAGCCTGCGCTCAGTCCACTGAGCCACACCAGCCAGGACTAATTCTATTTTTATCTGTAGTAAGCCTCGCATTTTCTTTTTAGTGTGCAAGTATGGCACTGTCTGCATAGGCATCATCTTGGGCAGGCTAACAGTTTGAGGATGAAATTAGTATGAAATGATTTAAATGTTTCATGGAAGATAAGTATATCAACCTCTCAGAATGTACCTTTGGTACTGGATAGCTTACGGTTTTGTATGAATTTTCGAGCACCTCAGGGGGGCGCTGTGACAGCATTAAATTATTGCTTACGGCATAAACATGAGGTTAGTTAATAATGAAGTGTTCTATTTCATTGTCTAGAATTTGCCTTCAGGTCAGAATGCAACCTTCTAACAGAATAGGACACATTTAATTTCCTGTCCAATTTTACCCCCACCAGACTTTTTCTTTGCTGGTCACTAGAGAATTTGAACTGTTAGAAATTTCTGTGATATAAATAGCAGTAATAGCCTTCCGGGGTAGAGGTGGTCTGGCTATCCACATGTGTGTTGTGATTTACCCCGTTTATCCCTTATTGTAACCGTCAGTGGTGCTCAAACCTTTCGGCCTCAGGACCTTGCT